ACACACACACACACACACACATACATCACATACATACATACATATTTATAATTCCAAAACCCTGACCTCCTACTTTTAGGTTTTGAGGTAAGCATCCAAAGATCTTAGAATGGCTTAGGATGAGGAGTCATGGGTCCATTTCATCTAACACTCACACCCCCACATCATTTACATATACATGCTATATATAGATAAATTTCCCAAGCAAATGTAATTTTTTAAAATTCTTCCAAAGCAACCCTATATTTGTTTATTCAGTGAGTCAGTCATTCAAGGGGATAAGTTATTTATTGAATAACAACTGACAAATCTTCCTAGGGTGGCCCCATACCATCTGTGTACTGTAAAACACCGAGGGACATTATTCACATAGACTGCTCTGTGTAGAACATTCAATGGCCCGATGAGTCTCCATATGCATCACCCTAAAGCCACTATTCGTACACCCAGGAGGAAGTGAAAAATTCCTAACTTAGGACAACATCTATTTTAGCAAACTTTTCTACATTGCAGCCTTTCCAGTTCATCCCACTTTCTTGTGGCTTCTCAAATATTCTTAAAGGGTGAGGGAAAGACAGAGGAGAAAATGCATGTTAAAGGTTTCCACTAAAAAGCATTCTCTCACGAACACCTGCCCTTCAAGATGTGTTTGTATGTACGACTAGAAGGTTTTAATTCCCTCAGTGACCAGAATTTACCCTCGGAAAATGCAGAGGCCTCTTTTACTGTCTGTCCATCCAAATAAAGACCCAGGACCTATGACCTGAAGTGAGGAGGCCACAACATATGATCCCCTAAAACGATGTAAACAGTCAAGTGGAGAATGCGGCTTTACAGCACAAATAAACAAATCTTTAGAAATAATAACATTTGCATTTACAATACTCTAGATTGAAATATGTTTCAGAGAGTGTCTTTAACTTCTGCTTCTAATTATGACATTTGGTATGACCTCATCTTGAACTGGTAAAATCGCTCTAAAAAATTAAGAAGTTAGAACTTCTCTGTAATCCAATCCTGATGAAATTATTATTTGTTCCCCCAACAAAGTTATAAAAATTTAAGAAACATAATTTTAAATTGATAAGATATTTAAGTAATTAAGTCAACTATGAGTCATTAGGACTTATAATTTCCCCAGTTTCACTCCCCTGGATCCATAACTAATCTACCATCCAGCCTAAGAAAACCAAAACGTGAAATACACATAGTAGAGGGGAAGAAGCAAAACAAGTACCCGAAGCTCCTGGGTGAGACTAAGGATTGCTCGGCCATCTGCCCGCAGTGAATATATACAAATTCCCACTCCCTAGTTAGTATTCACACATCATGTTGAAAACAAGTTCAAGATCATAGGACAAATAACTTTAAAGGAAAAAACGTGTTTTCTTCCCCATAAGCTGTTCTTCACTTTGACATAAAGTACTATCCTGCTCCAGAAATCCACTGATAAATATCCAAGCCTAAAAGGGCAACTCGCCACACCGCAGGCAAAATGCGTGCCTTTTCAAATGAACGGGAAAGCATGCATGATCAAGTTTCAATTTAAAAGAAAAATTAAAACAGAAAAAAAAGCCTGCAAGTGCAAATTGCTTCGAAATGAACTTTTTGTATTGGCCCTATCTTCAAACGCTTATTTCCATGGGGCATGGCTTACTATGCATTTAAAATGAATCTGTAAATTTTAAGAAGCAACCACGAACTAGCAACCATAGGTAAACAACGTGGTAAACAAAGTCCTGTCAGCTTACAAATGTTTCACTGAGAAATTCATATGGCTAAATTTATTTCTGGAGAATTTTTGAAAGGAATTAAAAGCAGGCCGAAACAAGTTCCCTCTGGATATTTGCATTTAAATTTTGTTCTGCAAGAAAACAGTAGAAAGGAAACAGCGGTAGTGGACAATAATCACATCATGGAAGCTGCTAATCCCTCGGTTTGCGCTGTTCAAAAATCAAACTTCTGAAAGCAAAGTGAATGCGAAATACGACTCCACAACTCATACACAGTATTAATTATGTATAGCCAATAAAATATAACATTAAATCTTCATCATTGCCAGAAATGTTAAAATTCACAGACCAGAGAAACCAAACTTGAAGAGAATAATCTCCATACATTAGTCAAGAAGGTTACTTGCTCATAACCACTGGCGGACGTACATAAAATGATCCTCGGAACAGGCCAGCCCGCAGACCCACAAGCAAAGCCTCACCTTGACAGGTGCCGTTTTTCTCTTCGTACCCTGCCTGGCACACGCACTTCCCGATGGGCACCAGCCACTCCCCCTCGGCACTGCAGTGCATCCTGGGCGGCTCTTCCGTCACGGAGTGATTGACACAGGCGCCTGCCACCTCCAGCAGCTGGGAAGAGTCTGCCCCAGTGATGGTGTCGGGGAAGACCGCGAGGTGTCGCACCACGGAGGGGCACTTCTTATAGTACACGCGCACAGACACCAGGGCGATGCATGCCCCAACGTCTTGGAAAGCAAGATAAAAGCCCTTCTTGCTCAGAGGCCCTACATCTCTGACCTCTGTGTTCAGTTTCATGACGCGGTCCCCAAGGTCAAGCTCTGTAAAGCTCTCATCCGCTGCAATGGTGTCAATCTTGATGTACTGGTTCTCCTTGATGCTTCGCCCGTTCTCGTCATCTGACTCGAAGTAATACATGTTAAAAGTTTCCTTGCAGGTCCCCAGGCCTCCAGGAAGACTGTTACAGTCCCGCAGAGTAAATTTCAGTTCTATGAAGATTCTGGAAGCCCCTTCATTGGAGATCCAACTGGTTAAGAGCCAGTTGTTCTGATTCTGTTCCATAACCTTGCATACTTGGTACGTGTGGATAGGAGCATAATTTTCATCAACTTCGCCAATCTCTTCCCACTGTACAATATAAAACAGAAAGAAGAAAATTGAAAAAAAAGCAAAAATCATAGAAAAAAATACAGGCGTGAAAATGCCTGCAACCTTAAAATACAGTATTGAGATAAAGAGCCCTATACAAAGTACAGTGAAGAGATACTGACAAAAATGTGTTTTACTTTGGTGCCAGGGGTCCATATTAACCATGCATTCTACCATGAATGGCACTCCTAGCCTCTTTTTTAAATTTAAACAAGTGAAGGACTTACTAATGAACTTCAACTTAACTCAAAGATGAACACATGAATTAAGTATACCAGGGGAATCACCTACTTAAGGATTAAAATATAAAGAAAAAATGAATGTGGATAAATCAAGACAAATAAAAGAAACTAATGTATATTTGCAAGAAAAATAAGTGTATCAATGGGTAAGTTGGGAGGCTATGGTTCAGATAACATTTCCAAAGATTCGTGTGTTAAAGGATTGCTTCCCATCTTTCGGACCATGGGGATGTGGTAGAAACCCTAAGAAGACAGCAAACCCTGCCTAGAGGTAGATCCACAGGGTTTGCCCAATGGGATTTCGGGTCTCAGTCCATTTCATGTTCCCTTTTATGTTCTGGACAGGGGGTGAGTGGCTTTGTCCACGTGCTCCCATCAGAACGTGCTGCCCCTCACAGGCCTAAAAGCAACAAGGTGAACAGATGACAGCTGGAACCCTTCAAGATGTGAACTAGAACAGACCTTGCTTTTCCCACATTGGTTATCCCAGTTATTGGCCACAGCAATGGAAGGCTAACACACCAAGTTCAAAGGAAAAAAAGTGCATTTTTTTTAATAAGGAAAGAAGCAAACGTAGAAAAGAAAAATGAAAACACTCCATTTAATTCTGTCATGTTACAAATAGCATATTACTGTAATAATATATGAAAAAAATCCATTAACTTAAAATTAGTAATACAATAGATCATTATTTGACCGAATCCATGCGTGGAGAACATTTTCACTAATTGGATAACTATTTATTCATAGATCTACCCACAGATAGGGAGACATATAAAAGAGCAATAAAAATTATCGATTTATAACATGGATAGGCTTCTATGGAATATCAATGGTCTTCTTGTTATCTTGGGAAAAATTCATTCCTTCTCATAAATGTACTGGGGATTTTTTGCAAGTATCTTCAGATATCTGAAAATATACAGGATATAAAAGTAATTAAGTATGCTTTCCATAGTTTCCAAGATCATTTGGGTCAAAAGAGAGATAAAAACCTATTTCTTTCCTGACAAAATACTCAAGTTTTAAAAATCCAAATGTACCATCAACACTTGCTGAAATATATTGAATCAAATTTTTATTCCTTATAAAGTCATTATAAGAAATTTATCAAACCTGTATAGAAACAAGGTATACAAGTACTATATAT